GTGGAAGGCAGGGAAGGTGGGGAGTGGAGAGTAGACCACTCTTCAGAGGCGAAGGTTTTATTTTTTTGCTTTTTAAAGAATGGCCAAGGTTTCAAAACTCTCTCTTCCTTTTATGCAGGCAATCTCTGTGTGCTGCTAGTTTTATCTTCTAAAAATTTTCCCCTTTTCCATCCCTATTAAAGTCGCTCTGGTTCAGGCTCTCCTCCTCTCTTGCTTGGTCTACTAGATCACCTATCTAGTAATCCTTTTGTCATCTTTTCTGAACCTCAGCTTTATCCTTAAAAATGCAGATCATTTGCCAATGTGGTGTTTCTCTTTGCCCCACCTTGACACCCGGAGCCTGTTCCCAATATGAGGTGTCTGTTCTGTGCCTCCTTTCTGCCTGCCTTGCCGTTCCCGGCCCGCCACCTTGCCCATTAGCAGCTCTCAGTTACTCATCACTGCTCCACATGCGCTGAGCTCTGCTGTCTTTTCACCCCATGGATCTCCTTAGAATACGCTTCTGTTCCCCTTCCATTCCCTCAGCTCCTTCATCCTGCCTAACCTGGAGAGCAGAACTCAGATCTTCTCTCTGACACTCATGCCATCTTCGCTAGCTTTCTCTCCTCCTCTAATCATTTTGTGTTATACTTGCCTGTTGATAGTCTGTCTCTCTTATTAATCTGTGAGCTTCTTGAGGGTGGCAGCTGTATGGGGTCATCTTTGTGTCCCCGGAGCTTGACACAGGGTTTGGTATATACAGTCTCTCCATTCCGGCTGTTCAGTGATGGGTTGGTATAAAGGCAATAGTATTTAAGTCTCAGTTTATACCGTTTATGCTTGAGTAGGTTTTGGTAATGCTGTTGTGTGCTTTTTTGTAGGACAAAAGATTTCAATTTTTAATGAACATAAAAGTTACGTACAAGGAGTAACCTGGGATCCTTTGGGTCAATATGTTGCTACTCTGAGCTGTGACAGGTACCTTAGTATTTGGCAAATTGTCTTTGTTTTACTTGGAATGTTCTGCAGAGGAATTTTTATCATAAATCATAATCTAGCTGTGATTCTTTTGCTCTTGTTTTCATACTCTTATTCTTAGAACAAAATAAGAAATTAGAAAATAATTGGGGCAAGTGCCTTACACAAAGTTAATACTTAGTAAATCTTTTTTTTTGGTACTGGCTGGTATAGGGATCCAAACCTTTGACCTTGGTGTTACAACAGCACTCTCTAACCAACTGAGCTAACCAGCCAGCCCCTAAGTAAATTTTTATTGAATGGGTGAATAAATGTAGAAAGAACTTCCTAACAACAAATAAACTTTGAATTACATTTGGTTTCATGGGAGACTTAAAGAAAAAGTCTCTTATAGGGCCGGCCCGGTGGCGCACTGCTACAGTGCGCTGCTTGGGAGCGCGGCGGCACTCCCGCCGAGGGTTCGGATCCCACATACAGACCGGCTGCTCACTGGCTGAGCGAGGTAGGTGCGGGCGCAACACCGAGGGTTGCGATCCCATTGCCGGTCCCGGTCCGGTACGGGCGCGACACTGAGGGTTGCAATCCGTTGCCGGTCACAAAAAAAGACAAAAAGGAAAAAAAAAAAAAAAAGAAAAAGTCTCTTATAAATATGACTTAAACAGGAAGAGAGAGTGAGAAGGTTAGACTATTGTATTTTTTGATTATAGTTTACTGATACAGTGATTTTAATGACTCCCTTTAAATTGATATAAAAATGTTTTTATTTTTTCTGAAAGGAGGTCTTGTTGCTGTGTTTATGGGTATAATTTCACTTGATTGTGGTTTTGGAACAAAGAGTTAAAAAAAATTGGAAATGCCAGTATATTATTTAACAATCAGAATAGTTCTTTTGAATATTTATCTAACTACTTTTAATTAAAACAAATTGAATTTAAGATGGCCCTGAAATGAAAGTAATATGGAAGAGTCCGTGTTTATTTTTCATAGAACCTCCTGTTGTATTTTAAATGCCATTTATTTTCTGATATATATGTTTTATTCAGTCAGTCAGGAATAAAACAATCCAATTAGCTTGTGGGAGCGATATGACTTATCAACAACCAAATTTACCTACTGCTATTCTCTTACTTTTGTAAATCCCTGAGAGTGAGACTGTTCAACACAAAATAAACTTCACTGAAGTCATACAACTTGCCACTGGGCCAGATGTCCAAGACCTGAAAAATAAGGCTGGGCCTAAAGTGTATCTTATTTGAGAAATTGAAACATTCAATGAAAAATTTTTTTAAAATAGAATTATGATTTATTTACCCACTGCAGTATTCTTAAGGTTGTAAATGTTTGCTTCTGTCATGATTACTCAATGAAATCTGAAAATCTTTGGTAAGTGGTTTTGCAGGCTGAAAATTGTTTAGGTGCTCTTTAGTTTTGGTAATAAATTGTTTTTGTGCAAACATAATTCATTTACTAGAAGTGGTAAATCAGACTTTTGTTCTTTCTTCAGGGTACTGCGGGTGTACAGCACACAGAAGAAACGTGTGGCTTTTAATGTTTCAAAGATGCTGTCTGGAATTGGGGCTGAAGGAGAGGTATCAAATATTTTGACATTCCTTTTCAGCAGTGTGTGGAGACTTAGGAAGTCACGAGCTTCTCCTGTACCTTGCAGCTACATCACTGGCCTCAGGGAACTAGACTACAATAAGGCTTCCTCTTGGACAGACAAGGCTCAGTTAGTGTGGTGGGCTGGTCTCTATGGAAATGGGGACATCTGGGGGCCAGGGGAAAGCCGGTGATAGAGGATTGTGGTTTCCAACTCTGGCTACACTGTGGAATCACCTGGAAACGTTAAAAATAGGGGTGCTTTGGTCCCACCTCCAGTGGTGTGATTTACTTGGCTTGAGATAGGCAGGGCCTCTGTGATCCTCAGGTGCAGCAAGAGTCGATCACTACTGATCCGGGAAGATCCCTGCGCTAGGCAACAGAAGGCAGGTGGGTCAAGAGTTCGATCTGTCTGGTGGCAGGTAGTACACCATCTTGGCAGGTAGATAGAGAATCTGGTAGCAGACATCAGAGACGCAGCCAAAGGGCTGGTATTTAGGAATAAGGAGGATTCTGATCTTTGAAAGAATTGGGAAATGAAAATAGGACCTTAGTCCTAGAGAAATCAAGACTGCTGAGTCAGGCTGACTGCACTGAGAGGTCACATCCAGAAAGTAAGGTTCTTGATTTACCTTGTTTCTCGGGTTCTTGAGAATTAAATGCTTAATTTCTTTTAAATGTCGATAAATGGTACCAAAAACTGTCTCACACAGGTGTTCAAGAAATGTTGTTTGAAAAGATGATACGATTACCAGTTCAATAACCCACTATTTTCTTTTTAAAAACTGTTCATTCAGTTGGAAATTCTAAATATAAATACACAAGTAAAAAGCAAAGGTCTCCTGGTCATCTTCCTGCTGTCTCCCCAGTTTCACCCTCCAGACCAACCACTGTGGACAGTGTGGTGTGTATTCTTACAGAGTGTTTTAAAATAATTGTAGGACCACACAAACACACACACATATAGACACATACACACATATAGCTTTACTTAGCAAAAATAGGTGACAAGTTCTCATAAATGATTACTCCTGCAGTCTTGCATGATTATTTGATTTGTAATGTTTCAGTTCAAGAACTGGTAAGCCTTTATTGTGAGTGTAAAGATTTGCAATAATGTTTAAACTTTGTACACCACAGGCAAGAAGTTACCGCATGTTCCATGATGACAGCATGAAGTCATTCTTTCGTAGACTCAGTTTTACTCCCGATGGGTCTTTGCTCCTCACGCCAGGTGTGTCTGACAGCTTTTGATATCAGGGTGTGGTGGCAGGTAGGGATGTCTGTGCTCCCATTTTTTGATGCTTCTTTTCAGCTCAGTGAATTCTGATCAGAGCCGTGGTTGCCAGCTTGTCTGCACTTTGGAACCTCCGGGAGAGCTTTTAAAAAATACCTGTGTCCCACCTCCAGAGGTTGTGGTTTCATTGGTCTGGGGGGTTGGCCTGGTTTTTAGAATTATAGGAAGATTTCCCAGTGATTCTAATGTTCAGACAAGTTTGGGAGTCACGACACTAGAGTGTAGGTATTTTCTCTTAGATAAATATAACTTTAAAAAATACACTGTTTAAGCTCTTTAATGAATGCTTTTTCACTTGATATGTATATAGAAGTCATAGTTCTAAAACCAAAGATAAAGTGCCTTTATGTTTTTATTCTCCTCAGTAATGAAGCAGCCTGTTGTGACAAGATTAGACACAAGGACACGTTTGGTTGGGCTAACTTGCGGGAGTGGCAGTGGTCAAATCTGAAAAGTCAGCACAAGGGCAAGGGCAAGACAGGTTCATTGTCTCCTGGTAGGCAAGAGATTAAGCCCAGCAAGATCAAGCAAGGCAGTGGCATCGCCTGAGTGTTCTGAGAAGAATGTCTGCAAATCTCCGTGGCTGGAGGACCATCCTGTGCATAAAGGCATAGCTCAGGGTTGGACCAAACGAAAGGGCACAGGTCAGATTTGCCACTAAGAGTCCCAACCAAGCTGGGGAGGGGAGGGCCCGGGAATGATGTGATTCACACATGCATATGTGTAGGTTAGGCTTTAAAGAACGTTGGGACCATGTGGGGAGTGACACTTTGGCTTAGGGAGTCTCAGGACCAAGAACAAGGAGTTGCTTAAGTTATTTACTAAAAGTTGTTTAATAAACCCAGCAACAAATCCTGTATTAAATGGTAACTCTAAAAATGTTTTCAGTTAAAATCAGGTACCAGATGGGTGTCTGCTATCACCATTATTGTTGTTCGTGGTATTAATAAATGCAGGTAAACAGAAAAATGAAATTAACAAAGATTGGAAAAGAAGAGATAAAAAACTTTTTCTGCCTGTGAAAGGACTGTATTTTTAGAAAATCCAAGAGACTTAGAAATATTATCAGAATAACAAAAAAGAATTTGATAACGTGGCTGTATTGTGAGATATATAAAAATCACTATCTTCTCTACTACCAGTAAGTACTTAGAACTGGGAAGAGGAAAAATATTCCATTCATAGTAGTGCAAAACCCGTAAAATACATGGAAGTAAATTTAATAAGGAAGGCACAGGACCTTTATGAAGAAGACTAGAAGGTCTTATTGAAGGTTATAAAACAAGTTCTAAACAAATGGAAGGATATATCATGTTCTAAAAATTAACATACCAATTTAATTTCCAAGTGGAATCCCATTAGAGGTTTTTTATTATTTTTTTTAATTAGATGAAATCACAGCTCTGTTTAATAGAATAAATGCTGAAGAATATAGCCAAGGAAGGAAGAAACAAAAGGATAATACTTGAGAGGGCATTTGCCTCAGCAGATGTGAGAAGACACTGTAACACTACTGTTACCAGGTCAACATGGTGTCATTATAGGACCAAACAAATAGATGAGTGCACGAGAAGAGAGAATCCAGAAATAGATTTCAGATATAAGGTAATTTAATATATGACCTTAGGTGCTATTTCAGTGGGAAGAATATATTATTGAATGAATGGTGCTGGGGTAGACAGCTATATGAAAGAAGGTAAAACTGGACCCCTAACATATATAAAAAGTAAATTCCAGGTGAACTCATTGCTTACATATGAAAGGTTGAAAATATAAAACTCTTGCAAGGAAATCTAGGAGGACGTTCTAGGAATGGGGAAGACCTACCTGAGACTAGAAACTCGGAAGCTCTTAAAGAAATGATAGACCTATTTAACTATATATGTGAATGTAGAACTTTTGTATGGCAAAAGATACAGTAAGCAAAATCAGTAGACAAGTGATGGAACTGGAAAATAATATTTGCAGTACAGGAAAGAGAGGGCTAACATAAATCATATACAGTGATTCCTTCCAAATTGTTGCTTTTTTATTATTTTGTTCTTGCCAAAGGAAGAAAAGAAAAACCCAGAAGAAAAGATACACAAACATAGAAGAGCAAGTCTGCATGTTAAATAGGCATAGGAAAAAGTTCTGAAACCCAATCATAGGAAAATATAAATTAAAGTGACATAATAAGTAGATATCTTTATTCCTTTCAGACTGGAAAAGAAATAGTACCTATTGCTGATGGGCTTGCAGAATGTGGGTATTGCTGGTGGGAATTTGATTGTTGCAGCCTTTGTTGGAAAGCAGTCTGGTACCAGTTAGATGCATGTACCGCCTAATTCATCCCATGTCTGAGACCCAATTTCTTAAGAAATGAAAGCATAGTATGTGTGACTATATGTTCAAGGATGTTTATTGCAAGCGTTGTTTGTAGTGGTAAAAAACCAAAAACAAAGCAATACTCATTAACAGGATGTGTGAACAAATTATAGTATTTTCATATCAGTAAATATTATGCAGCTACTAAAAAGGAATGCATTAGTGCTATGCAAGTTAACTTTCACAAGTAATTGACTGAAACAAGCAAAACAAGGAAAAGTGTAAATAGTACCCTATTTTGACCATCATATGGGTATATATGTGCTTGAGCTGTAACTGGTTTTACTGATTATGTGAGCATGGAGGAAATGTAGAAATGATGTAATGTTTTGTTAAAATGGATTACTCGTGGGGCCGACCCTGTGTCTCACTCGGGAGAGTGTGGCGCTGGGAGCGCCGAGGCCACAGGTTTGGATCCTATATAGGGATGGCTGGTGCGCTGACTGGCTGAGCGCAGTGCGGGTGACACCAAGCCAAAGGTTACGATCCCCTTACTGGTCACAAAAAAAAAAAAAAAAAATGGATTACTCGTGGATGGAGGGGTGGGATGAGATGGGGAGAGGGTAGCTATGCAGAAAAGTGGTAGTAAAAAAAGAAGGTTTTTGATGTTGTCTACTCCTCTTGCCAGTAGATATGAAATGGTCACATGTAAAATTCTGTAGGTGTATGTATGTACCGAGGAATGTGAACCTAAAACAGGGAGGAGTTTCTAAGAGCACCTGTGTATGACAGTCATTCTCTGACAGGGTCATCCTAGGGTGAGTGCAGAAGAGCTCTCCAATGTGGACTGTTCCCCAGAGCAAAGTCAGGTTTTGCAGGAGGCTGGAGATTTCAGCAGAGCATCTCCTGGCAGCCTCATGGCTAGATCAGGCAGATGGGAAAGGCTCAGAGTCTCAGCCTTTGGGTGGGAACAGAGGTCAGAATCCAGGGAGTAGATTCAGGGGTTGTAGGTAGAGCCTGGACAGTTGGATCTAGTCACAGTGCTCTACCAACAGGAATTGCGTGGTGTATTAGTCCATTTTTGTTGCTTATAACAAAGTATACTGAACTGGGTGATTTATAAGAAAATGAAATTTATTGCTTACAGTTTCTGAGGCTGAGAAGTCCAAAGTCCATCTGGTGGTGGTGACAGTGACCCAGGGGTCTCACACTGCAAGATAGTGGAAGCAGAGAGAGAGCAGAGAGAGCAAAAGGCAGACTCTCCTCTTCTTTTAAAGCCCTCAGAACTATGCTCCCGACCACCATTTTTAATCCATTCACTAATGCGTGGTCCTACAACCCAATCACCTCTTCAAGGCCCCACCTTTCAGTTACCATAATTGGATTTCCCCCCTCAACAGTCATAGTGGGGACTAGAAGTTTCTAATACATAAAACTTGGGGGACACCATTCAAGCTTCAGGGAGTTTTGGGGGGACACAATTCAATCCACTACACCTGCCTTCTCAGAGGTGCTCATAGCAAGGGCTCCCTGCTTTATGTTCTTCCTACCCAAGACTGAACTGGTTCCCAGGGGGCTGAGCCCTCAGGCAGAGATGACAGGTAGTAAAACTGGAGTAAAGGGTGAGACCACACAGTGACGGAATGTTTGTATTTGTCCTCATTCACAAAAACATTGTCCAGAAAATACAACTTTAGGAGAAAATATTTTACAAACCAGAATTGAAGGCTCTTGAGTTTTTGCTGGCGAAGTTTGATAAAACACTGACTTTCTTTCCTCTCCCTTCTCCTGCTCCCCAGCTGGATGTGTGGAATCTGGTGAAAATGTAATGAATACAACTTATGTTTTCTCCAGGAAAAATCTTAAAAGGTATGCAGTGAGGAAATATTTGGAATGTTTACCCTTTCTTTTTTGCTTCTGTGAGTAACAGTGCCTTTTTCTAAAACTATGATTAAACTTGTAGGCCCATTGCTCATCTTCCATGTCCTGGAAAAGCGACGCTTGCTGTTCGCTGCTGTCCAGTCTACTTTGAATTGAGGCCAGTGGTGGAAACAGGTACCCTCAGAACCACATGGTTGTGTTATGCTTCCTCTCTGAGGCAGGTCACCAGGGTAGGGTTGTGATTTGGAGGTGGGTTTCGTTCAGTTTAGTTACTCTTAAAAGGTGGTGCAAAGACTGATTTTATCAAAATATATGTCAAGTTTTTTTCAATCGTCCAAAATATACTTTCTTGCTTAAAGCAACTTTAAAGGAATATAAGTACTACTTTTGTTTTCTTACTGGTTGAATGTCATACGTTATTGATTTTCTGTACAGTAAAATTATATATGAATTGGATTTTTGTTATCTTTTTCCCCCCCTTTGGCTGCTTTTAAGATTTTTCTCTTTATCAGTGGCTCTAAGAAATCTGATTATGATTTATCCTGGTATAATTTTCTTCATGTTTCTTGTGCTTGAGGTTCATTGAACTTCTTTTTTTTTTTTTTTTTTAAAAGATGACCGGTAAGGGGATCTCAACCCTTGGCTTGGTGTTGTCAGCACCACGCTCAGCCAGTGAGCAAACTGGCCATCCCTATATAGGATCCGAACCCGTGGCCTTGGTGTTATCAGCACTGCACTCTACCAAGTGAGCCACGGGCCGGCCTTCATTGAACTTCTTTTTTTTTTTTTTTTAAAAGATGACCGGTAAGGGGATCTCAACCCTTGGCTTGGTGTTGTCAGCACCACGCTCAGCCAGTGAGCAAACTGGCCATCCCTATATAGGATCCGAACCCGTGGCCTTGGTGTTATCAGCACTGCACTCTACCAAGTGAGCCACGGGCCGGCCTTCATTGAACTTCTTAGATCAATGGGTTTATAATTTTTATCAGATTTGGGAAATTTTGTCCATTACTCTCTCAAATATTTTTTCTGTCATCTCCCTCTCTCTCTTAATTAGGGACTCCAGTTACACATGTATTAGGCCGTTTGGAGTTATCCCATGGCTTATTGATACTCTGTTTACTTTCGTAGGTTTTCTGTTTTGGAAGTTTCTATAGCTATGTTTTGAGTCCACTAATCTTTTCTTCTGTGTGATCCGCCCTTGGCCCCATTCAGTGTATTTTTAATCTGTGACACTGTAGTTTTCATCTCTAGTTGTTCAATTTGGGTCTTTTAAAAAATATTCCATGTTTCTACCTAACACACTCTGTCTTTCCTCTTGCTTCTTGAACATATAGAATACAGTTATAATAACTTTTTTAATATTCTTGCATACAAAAGGTTGGTTTTGATTAATTTTTTTTCTCCTCATTGTGGGTCATATTTTCTTGCTTCTTTGTATGCCTGGTAATTTTTTTTTTTTTTCCTTTTTGTCTTTTTTCGTGTCCGGCAATGGATCGCAACCCTCAGTGTCGCGTCCGCACCTCGCTCAGCCAGTGAGCGGGAACCGGTCCGCATGTGGGATCCGAATCCTCGGCGGGAGCGCCGCCGCGCTCCCAAGCGGCACACTGTAGCAGTGCGCCACCGGGCTGGCCCTGCCTGGTAATTTTTGATTAGATGCCAGACATTGTGAATTTTACCTTAGTGGATGCTTGATATATTTTAATTCTTGTAAATATTCTTGAGATTTACTCTGAGATGCAGTTAAGTTACTTAGAAACATTTTGATTGTTTTAGGTCTTGCTTTTAAGCTCTGTTGGGGGGATCACAGCAACATTTAATCTAGGACTAATTTTCCCCATTCCTGAGGCAAAGCCTTGTGAATGCTCTAATTGATGCCCTGCGAGGTGTGAGGTTTTCCACTCTGACTAGGGTGGAGCATGTACTGTTTCTGGCCTTGTGTGAGCTTCAGTGATTATTCTTTCTTTCTGGTAGTTCTTGCTTCAGTCCTTATGTGCATGTACTCAGTTGATGACTCAGGGTGGGGGGACCCTGAAGATCTCTGGAGCTCTCTCTCTGCAGCTCTCCTGTTTCTGGTCCTCTGCCCTGTGATCTCCAGCTACCTTGCTCTTCCTGGACTCCCAGCTTTGTCTTCTCAACTCAGGGAGTATGCTAGTTCTGCCTGGGTTCTCTCTACCACATGCATAGGAAATGTTCTGGGCAGCAGCTGAGGCAGTTGTAGGACTTAGCACATTTGCTTCCTATCTCTCAGGGATCACTGTCCATTGTCACCTGCTGGCCAGTGTCTTCAAAACTGTCATTTCATATATTTTACCTGGTATTTTAGTTTTTTTCAGGTGGGAGGGTGAATCCACTCCCTGTTATTCCCTGGCTGGAAACAGAAGCTGTTTTTAACTTTTTAATCCTTTATTTGAATGTATATAATTAACTCGACAGAGCATAAAAACATCACTTGATAAACTGTTTCTAAGTGACCCTTATTTTTCCTTGTCACAGCGTGACCTCTCAGATTGACTTGCCTTATCCACCTGTCTTCTTTCCTTTTCTCTTCTGTTTTGGACTCAGTGTTCATGACATGCTGTTTTCTCTGGTTCTTGCATGGTTCTCTTTTATCCATCTACTCATATATAAAATAATATAAAGAACTGAATTCTTTTTTTTGTCTTTTTTCGTGACCGGTAACGGGATCGCAACCCTCGGTGTCGCACCCGTACCGCGACCGGCAACGGGATCGCAACCCTTGGTGTCGCGCCCACACCGCGCTCAACCAGTGAGCGGACCAGTCTCTATATATGGGATCCAAACCCTCGGTGGGAGGGCCGCCGTGCTCCCAAGTGCCGCACTCTACCGAGTGCGCCACCGGGCCGGCCCAGAACTGAGTTCTTTTGTAAATCATATAGAAAACTGGTTTTTAGTAAAATTATATCATTTATGTCTTCCAGGAAGAGGGCTTTGGTGGGGGAATTAGTTATTTGTTTCCTTTGGGAACCTTGTTTTTTTGTTTTACTTTGTCCCCAAATCATCACAAGAGCCACGCCTGGAGCTGGTGAGTCTGCCCTACCGCCTGGTGTTTGCCGTGGCTTCAGAGGACTCTGTGCTTCTATATGACACACAGCAGCCTTTCCCTTTCGGTTACGTGTCTAATATACACTACCACACCTTGAGTGATATTTCATGGTGAGTAGCTGGTAATGAGGGGGAGAGGATGAATGAAGGAGACAGAGAGTGTGTTACCGTGGGATAGACCGTTGGTTTAGGGAGCATTTCATCACTAACGATGGCTTTTTTTGCCCTATTCGTCAACTCTTTTAAAGAAATCAGCATTAAAAGGAAAATTATTTCTAGTTTGCCACAACACTTGCTTTCTATTTTAACACCAGTGAGTTTTGATGCTGTTAAGATTGCCCTGTGGGATTAATCAAACTCTGATAAACTGAGGGGAGGCCCATCAACTCCCTGGTTGATTGGGGAGTGGTCAGGCCCTCCAGAAGGAATCTCTGCTGCCCAGAACAGGGAGAGGTGCCCTGGAGTCTGTCCTGATGGTGTCACTTGGCAATCTGCCTTCTGCTGGAGGTCCTCAGCCACCATTTAGTCCCCTAATTCGGCCTCTACTGGCTCCTTGGCCCAACTTGAGCTCCAGCCAAGGCTGAGCACTGACCGTCCATTTCTTGCTCCTTAAAACTTTTTTCTCTTCTTTTAATTTTCTTTTTATCTTGGGGGGAAGAAAGGTCATCTCACCTTTATTCAGATGAAGGGTGATGATAGCGCAGATGTGTTGAGGCAGCTTAGAAGACCAATCTAGGGCTGGGAGGGCGGCGCATGAGTCAGGAGCCCACACACCTTTTCTAGTCATGCTCTTTCCTGACTTCTGATTGCGATCTTGCTTCAATTTTCATTTCCTAACTAGTAGTGAGAGTGTGAAGTGTGGCCCGTAGACTTTAGTCAAGTCTTTAACTTTTCTCCCTGTTTTTCAAACAAAGGTCCAACGATGGGGCCTTCCTGGCCATTTCATCCACAGATGGCTATTGTTCATTTGTGACATTTGAGAAAGATGAACTTGGAATTCCTTTGAAAGAGAAGCCGGTTTTGAGCATGAGAACTCCTGAGACAGCAAAGAAAACCAAGAGTCAGACGCACCAAGGGTCTTCGCCAGGACCTAGACCAGTAGAGGGAACCCCCACCAGCAGAATCCAAGACCCCACCAGTCCCTGCACAACCCCCACTCAGGCCAGACAGTCTCCAGCCCCAGCAGCAATCAAGGACACTCCCTCAATCACTCCTGGTGTCAAAAACTCCTTGCCAGGGCCGACAGAGGAGAAGACCCTGCAACCCAGTAGTCAAAACACAAAAGCCCACCCATCCCGCAGGGTCACTCTAAACACGTTGCAAGCCTGGAGCAAGACAACGCCCCGGTAAGAACTTCTGATGGAACAAGAAATTGTCATTGTAGATTGAAAAACAACATACAAGCTGAACCCTCCCCAACCAGGTGAAATTCCATACAAATCCTTCATGCTGCTGCCAGAGAGAGATTGCTTAACAGCAAACCCGCTTTCTCACTTACAGGCCTCTGTTGGTTCTTCCATTTCTGGCCTGTTGGATAAAGCCTGGGCTCCTGTGTGCACACATGGACTGTGCTTTGGTTGCAGCCTGTCATCCCCTTGCTCTCTTAAGTCCCTCGTGCCTCAGTCGGTAGCCCTGCCCTGAAGGTCATGTTCTGGAGCACACTCTGACCTCTGTGCCTTACCTTCCATGGGGAAGTCCTGGACTCTGCTCCGCTTGGTGACACTAGAGTCCTCCTGAAAGACCATTAGAATGGGTCTCTGTTCTCATGCTTCATAGCCCTTCTGCCCTTTCCTCTGTCACTACACATCACATTTTGTAGCAGGAGTTTTTTTTATGCTTCTGTTTCCCTGTTGGATCATGAGCCCTTCAAGGGCAGGAAGTTTGTTCCTATCTCTTACCTATGCTTTTTTGCCCAAGACAGTAACAAGCACTTCCTGATACATTTGACACTGCCAGCAGATTGGCTTGTGAGAAACAGGGTGTCCTGGCCTGATGAGAGATAGTCTCCAGGGTGATACTGTGGTTGTTTCTTCCCTGGCCCATGAGTCTGGCGGGCATACATGCCTGAGTCCATGCTCCTGCTACAGTTGGAGCTGTTCAGCACAGGCTGCTGTTGCCAGGCAGCATCAGCCTTCAGTGCTCTTTCCTTGCTTTGCAACCCTGATACCCTTATCCCCTCTGACTCTGTCCATCCTTCTCCACCAATCCCTTTACTTCCTAACCTTCCAGATAAACTGAGTTGGGAGGTGGGTTGGAGAGAGGGATGCAAAGGGCAGAGGTGGGGGTGACAGGTTGCAGAAGTGCTCTCTGCCTCTCCCAGGCTCTCCTGTGTCATGTAACTTCACTGGCAAATTCATGATACAGTTTAGGTGTAATGTTCAGCTCTTTTTAAATCTCTGATTTCTTTCTGCAGACCAACAATGTATCTTTAAATTTTTCTATTTGTTTTTAGGTGGGAGAAGATATTCTTTGAAATATTTTTGGTATTAAATTGTTTTTCCCCTCTTGCTTGATTTCTTATAAACTATTTACCAAGCTTCTTGCATTTGTAATATTTTTTTAAAAAGTAATAGTTGTTGAAAATAAGACTCTGGATTTTAAAAAAGAGTTATCTGTGTTTTGGCACTTTCCGGATTTCTTATAAACTATTTACCAAGCTTCTTGCATTTGTAATATTTTTTTAAAAAGTAATAGATGTTGAAAATAAGACTCTGGATTTTAAAAAAGAGTTATCTGTGTTTTGGCACTTTCCATATGTAGAAACCGTGTTTGATAGCCTTATGTATACGACATCCAGAATGGTGTTCAGTAGACCATTGGTAATTAACAAAACACGTGTTTTGAAACTTTCAGATGATTGGTTATGGTTTAAGTGGACCATTATAAATGTGATGGTTTAACTTAGTACATAAAAGTTAATCCTTAGGTATTAAATAAGTGGGCCCATCATTATATGGTATTTAATGTCTTGCATGATGTGATCAGCTGAAACATTTAAGTATTTCCTTTGGTAGTTTTGAAACTTGGTGTCATACATAAAAAATCCCTGTTACACTAATGAGCCACCTACCCCTTTACTTCTTTTTTTTTTAATCAAGGAGAATAAACTTAATACCCTTAAAGACAGATACTTCACCAAATTCTGTACCACCCAGCATAATTCCCAACCCTTCCACAGAAGAAATTCAGTCAGGTAAGTGATATTGTTAATGGTTTAATATAATTAACGATAGAGTATCTTCTCTTTTGTTCTTTTGGATATTAACATCACCTGATTTTAAGTTAGTTCTAAGAAGGCAAGAGTGCATCTTATTGCAGCCATTGTTTAAACTCACTGGCTGCTTATTTATGTCTCAGCAGGGAGACCACCTTGCCAGTAAAAGCAATCACTGTGAGCTAGATAGTGGACTCAGTAGCAGGTGGAATAGATCCACTTTCTCAGCCTGGTGACACTGATGTTTGGGGCTGGATCGTTCTTTGTTGTGGGGGCTGCCCTCTGTATCGGATGTTCAGCAGCATCCCTGGGTTTCACCTCTTGCCCCACGACATTCTAAAATGTCACTAGACACTGCCTGCTTTCCCTTGAGAGGCAAATAACCCCTGGTTGAGAAGCAGTGGTATATAGTTCCTTTCCTGTGTCAATATAGGATCTTGCCAGGCAGTTCATTTCTTGTCTTGGCTCTACATTTTGCAAATGTCAGCTCTTAACTTACAGAAGTCTTCAATTACTTGCCAACCTTATGTTTGTTAATGTTTCAGAGATGTCTGGAGACCCTCAGGGCAGTCCTCCAGAGCTGAAACAGCCCAGACTTGGTGAAAACAATGGAAGCGCCCAAAGTCTAGACCTTTGATGGGACCTTGACGTCTGCTTGAAGGCTTGCCAGGTCTGGGAGCCCCCATGCGCAGCGGGGAGCTGAGGCCGAAGACAGATGCCCGAGGCCAGTGGCATCCTACAGAGCAGAACAGACGTTGTAAATTGATTTCTGTAGCCGAAGATACACATGTACTAACTTTTCTCCAGAAATATGTATACTCTTGTATTCAGTATCCATCTTAACTTGGGGATATGAACATTTTAATAGACTAAATCTTTTCGATGAGTTTCTGAAACTGGCGCAGTTCAACCTTATCTAGTGTGAAAATCAGTAAATCCTCCTTCGAACTACTCACGAAAGTACAGACACTTTATGGGTGGACTCTGTTGAAAGTTAGGATTAGAAAGAGGAAAAAGTAATTTGAGAAGGTTTATTCTGTTGAATTTTAGAGTGTTTGAAGTGATTGTTAGATTTAGCTTTTAATTAATTGATCAGTTAAACTGGAAGTTTATGTTTGTTTTTTCATTTTGAAGGTCCTAATGCTCATTCTGCAAAGTCAGTGAACTACAGTGAAGTAGAACACGGGGGCTGGAGGTGGGAATCTCCCGTGATCTCACCACCAGAAGTAACCCTTGCTAATGCTGTAGCATGTTTCCTTCCTAGCATTTTTATGGATTTTTTTTTTTTTGAGAGAGAGTTGAGATTTTAATTCAGATACAATTTGGTATCCAAATAGGTTAACTCTTTAGATTGGTTTTTCAAAGCAAAAAATGTATCTTCGGTTCACAATATTTGCCTGTACTTTTGCTCTTTCAGGGCCCTGGGATGATCATGTGATCATTTTCTACTAGGAGTAAATATGAGAGTTGTGGGCTAGATGCATGAAGTGATAGCTGTCCCTGAAGGAGGCAGTCACACACACGGGGAGCCTCTCCTGCCTCGGGAGGGGCTGGGCACTGTGGCTGGGAGATGGTTAGGAGTCCTGTGGCAACTGGGTGGAACCCCAGTTAGGAAGCCTGTGCTGCTGCGTCCCCTTCAGAAGCGTTGTTATGGTGAATTCAGTGATTCATGACAGCTGTCACTTTGACATAACCTGGTGAGTCATACCGACGAGTGTGAGAAACCCAGGGCTTTCTTCCCAGCCCAAAACAGATCAAAGGGCGAAAGAGCTCGGGCCCGTGATTAAGTCTGATGGGAACAGGGCTGAGGAGTGAGGAATGCACTCTTCATCTCAGGTCAGCAGCAACGAAGAAAATAATTGGAAAGAAGCATCAGTTTGTTGCTTAATCCACAACCGAGTAAGCCAGAAAAAGAGTCTGTCTCCCTTTTAGATGGGCAGGTGATGAACTAGGGATAATTTACAATGTGGAGAGTGAAGGGTGAACACGCACATACTATAGTGATGCGGACATGGGTCACATTCAGAATGAAAAGGCTTTAAAATGTCACCATCTGTTTTGACCAGTGTTTCTCAACCGTAGTTGTGCATTGAAATCACCCCAGTATGTGATGAATGTGCTGATGCCTGAATATGTCCCCTCTGGAGGGCCTGGCCTGATTGGTCTGGGCGTGATCTGAACATCAGGATTTTTTAAAGCTCCTCAACTAATTCTAATGCACAGCTAAGACTAAGAAATCATAAGAGAAAAAAGCATTTCCTGGATATGGTCTGTTCAGGTTAAGTGCATTTCCACTGAAATCTTTCTCTTGATCATCTCTGCTCCAACATTGCCTGATGTAAAAACTGCTCACTAGTGTAGCCAGACCAGAGGACAGTGCAGGAGACACCATAAGCTCTTCTGGAAAAAGGTGGTTTCAGATGTCATGCAGCTGGCTGGAGCTATAGTTTGTAGTCAATCCTGTGAAAACAGCTGAGTGACCACGGGTCCCCTGTTCTTATGAGCAGCCTGCTTACTGGCCATACCCAGGGTCAGAGCCGAATTAGGTTTTACAAATCTGTCCCTGGTGCAGCCATAGTGTCGGGGGTGGCAGACAGGGCGCACTTTCAGCCTGAAGTATGCATTTATAAGAATGACAACTGCCTGTTCATCAGCCGTCAGCCTTGAACATACATTACAAAACTGGCAGTAAAAGACCAGGTGATGTCACCTCCATGTCACTGTCTGAAAAGGCCAGCTTCAGTCTGGGTAGCTAATTGGGGCAGCCTTCTGCAGAAGGAGCCTAGCCTGGCAGTTGGTGGCATTCCCCTCACAGGTGGTCGCTGTTTGTAGGGCCTTCCTCACCACTCCGGATCTGTCCTTGGATGGGGTTTTGTTGTGTCTTCAGCAGTGTTTCCAGATGTCTCCAGCCACTCTGCTGTTGAATGTTAGGCCCTGCTGCTAGGAGACTGGAAGAGGAGGCAGCTTGGGAGACTGGCTGGGAGTGCGACAACGGGGGCAGGGGTCTACCCCTGGCCTGGGTGCCATGCGGGCAGGGGAAGCAGAGGGGCAACCTCTGTCACATGCTGGGACACAGATGGTGGGCAAGGATGTGTGAGCCATCCTTAGGCAGGCGCCCACCAAGGTGGGGATGCTCAGCTGGGATGCACGAAGGGAGCAGGTGGGGGGCAGGAGCGCAGGTCTTGTTTGGTTTGCAGCTCCTCGGTTTTGCTCCTTTGCAGCCACTTCTGTTGTGTTTGCTGAGAGCACTCACTTCTGTTCTTTAACAGTGCTCTTGACCCTTCTTACCAGAATAGTTGTCAGTGTCCATTTCAACAATGGAGGTCCCCAGTCCTTGGCTCTGGAAATGGCAGGTGGGGAGAGGGAGGGGTGGAGGTGGACTATTCACTTCTGGTCTCCCAGCCTGGACTCTCCACTCCCACAGCCTCCCTGTCTGTGTTACTTGACTGTATTTCAGTCTCTGCTCCCTCTCACCTAGGGTATGTGTGTCTGTAAGAGAGATAGACCTTGGACAGAGTGCTTCATTGATCTGTATCTTAGTTTCTTCGTCTCAAGAAGTCTTCGCAGCTCTAAAAACTTGGACTTTGCCTGCTTGGGTAGGGGAGAGGGTTGAGAGAAGAGGTAAGGAGGGCCATCCATGCAGCAATGAAAAATTGAATTAAGACAGCTGGAAGATGAACCAGATGATACTTCCCTTTATACGGAAGCAAGACACTTGTGTTCATGCATGAATTCTCTGTGGCCACTGAAGGTCACTGTCCCACTGAATCCACTGAGCAGCTGTGCTTCCTAGGCTTGCAGGTTCTGCCCCTCAGCTCCCCTCCTCTGTGTCATGTGTCCCTGTCCAGTCTGGGGAGAAGGCTTGGCCAGAATGGCGTTAGATGCTGTCTTCAGCCTCTGGTGACCAGATGTAGAGTGGAGCATTGTCCAACAAATGCAGGGGACGTGAGTTATGAAAGTAATGCGTGAATGCTCGTTTTTTTATTCATTCATTTATTAGAGAAATGTTTATCACCTTCCAGTGTCCCTGTCCAGTCTGGGGAGAAGGCTTGGCCAGAATGGCGTTAGATGCTGTCTTCAGCCCCTGGTGACCAGATGTAGAGTGGAGCATTGTCCAACAAATGCACGGGACGTGAGTTATGAAAGTAATGCGTGAATGCTCGTTTTTTTATTCATTCATTTATTAGAGAAATGTTTATCACCTTCCGGGTACTGGAGCATATTTCAGGAAACAAACCAGACAAAAGTCCCTACCCTTGTGGAGCTTACCTTCTGGTTGGGGAGAGCAACAATAGCAAAAGTAAATATAAATTAGAAAGTGACTATGGAGAAACAGGTAGGCACGGGGCTTTAGGAGAGTGGGTCGCAATTCAGAGTAGGAAGGCCTCGTGGAGAAGGTCGACACACAGAACATGGGGGCAAAGAAGAAAGCATCAGGCCGGGCATTCTGGGTCTCCAGGAGCAATGGCGCCCTTGTCATTTCAGATACCCAATGCATGCTAAGTGCAGTTGGGGTGTTTCGGGGTCCTCCACACGCAGGCATTTCTGCAGCCTCCCTGCTTGGTGTGGGCCCTTGTGTGGTCGTAGTAGCCATGTTGGTCACATGCCTCTCCCCCTCCTCATGCCTACCTCTGCGAGTCTCTAGGGACGTGGCTCAGGTGGCCCCCAGCAAGCCAGGTTGAATGTCATGGTCATTACAATCAGAGTAGGGCAGGCGCCCTGTCGCGTTCCAGTGGGAGTGCAGTCTTTCTAAACCGGACCTTTCCAGCCCAGCCCTTTCTCCCAGCTTGAAGGCAGCCAGGCATCCCCCAGCTGTTAGCTCCCATGTCCTGTTTGTGACAAATTCTGTGGTGGCTTGAACAGCTTGGTTGTCAGAGGAGGGGAGTAGAGGATGTAGCCTTCAGCTCGGCCGCTGTACCTCGTGTCCTGCCTCAGCACAAACATGGCCCACACGAGAGGGAAACGTGTCCCCTCACAGAAGCACTGGTGCTCTCTTCTTATTACCCCACTACCTGATGTCTCCTGTCATAGAGCGTGATCTGCAAAAGGCATTTTAAGTGTAATAAGTTTTTGAAATAACTGCAGGTCTCTCTTCCCCATCAGAGCCCCTGGCAGGCCTGAGGAGGAACGCAAGCCTGTGATGAAGTGAGGCCAGGTGTCAGCCCCTCTCTAGGGGTCTCTTGCCCAGCAGTTCCCCTCTTCTCTCCCTGTCTCTCCCACCTACCACGCGTATGGAACTGGCAGCACCAATGGTTCCCTGGCCAGCTGTGCTCAAAACCAAAGTGTAATAAAACCATCTCGTCAGAGCTTTGTTTGGACCCCCAGAATCAGCCTCTATAGGAGGCCAGACTCACAGGTTTAAAGAGATCTCCAGGAGACTTTCCAGGTGGCAGGCACTGAGAACTACCCACTGGGCACTCGTGATGTCTGGAAGACCCAGCAGCAAAGGGCAGTGGAATACTTCAAGCTCAGTGATTTCGTGACAAACATCTGTATTCAACTACTCAAGAGACTGACTCGAGAAAACTCTACCACCCACTCCAGTGTCACTGCTTTTACGTGAATGTCATAGTATGAGTCAGTGCCATGTTATTGAAGCTGCCCCAAAGGTTAGTTCCATGTGGTGCTGACCCTGACACTTACTGTGAGCTGTGATGAGGGGATCATGAGTCTTGGTTCCTAGTGGAATGAGTTTTTGAATAAGCCACTGCTGGTGGGTGGGGATTGATATTGCTGATCCTTCACTTCTCTCTGTCCCCTGTTGCCACCTCGGCTCTAGCCCAAATGAGCTCTGTCCCGGGCTCAGGTCTGGTCTCTGCTATGTCTGTCAGTCTCTGCCCCCGTGTCAGGCATCTCTCTTTCTTACTATCCCCTTCAGAGCCCAACCTGTCCATCCAAGGTTGATGTGTGTCTGCAGGAGGGGAGGCAGGCCTGGTTGTCTTTGACTACAGAGGCATTTGCCTGTTTGTCCTTTTGGTTTTTGCAGAATCCTCAATGCTCAAGATGGCCCTTGGACTTGAGCCATCTCAGTCCTCGATGTTGCTGGGCCACTGCTCTGCCAGCCTGCCTTGCTGGCCAGGTGGCCCATCCATCCCTAAGCAGTGACC